ATTCCTTTGAGGTTATCCAAGATAACGCTGCAAAGCAGCCGGGCTCATTGAGAGCTTGCTCGTGCTAGCACGCGAGGCGGACCCCTGGACGTTCGTCGCGAATGGAAGGAAGGAAGTAGTAGTGGTGGTGGTGGTGGTGGTGGTGGTGGTGGTGGTGGTGGTAGTAGTAGTAGCAGTAGCAGTAGCAGTAGCAGAAGTACTACTAGCCCCAGCCGTAGAAGTGGTAGGAGTTGGATTAGTCGTAGTAGTTGTTGTAGTAGTAGTCGTCGTCGTAGTAGTTGCTGTTATTGTAGACGTGACAGCGACATCGCAACTTCTTTCTTGATGTCAACCTGCTTCACATCTGGGCAATTTTTTTTTGATGCATAACAATCTGTTTATTGATGCCTATGCCCTTACTGCGGGGGTGTGCTCCCGGCATCGTGGAAACTGGCTGCTCAAGGGAAACTGCACCTGTAGTTACCTCCTCATGAACCTCCACAGTCCTGTGGGCCATTTTAAGCTACCAGCGACTTGCATACTATGAGGGGAAATGCCAAAGGGTAGGATCACTCGCATTTAGCTTCAGAGAAAAGGTTAGCTGGATACCACACAAGATGTAGAGTAGCTGTGGCATAATCACAGCAATGTGTCGGGAAATCGGCGTACCTGCAAAAAAGACTCCAGCTGGATGCTACAGCATGAGATTATCAACAGAACGTATGTTGCATGTGCAGGATAGAAACCATGCATCCATCACCGTCATGTCTGCATCACCTCTTCACAGGTGGTCACTCTTCGACCCAAAATAGCACGTTTCAACTCATTGCTAGGGATACCCCTAGCGAATCGATTTGCTCTGATGGACCAGCAGTCTTTCAGCACGGTGCCTATGTTGCAGTGATCAACAACACACCATGCCCCGAGCTTCGTCGGCAACTTGCCGGGCTCGAACGTGCCCCAGGTGCCGCTTCTGGACCTTTGCAGTGCGATTTATGGGCAGCCCGAACAAGTAACGTAACTAACGATCTAACAATGTCCCCGGAAACCGGTGTGCACTTTCTTGGCCCTGGTTGCTCCTTGAAACCATGGTCAAAGGCCACAATCCTGGAAACGATATTCGAAGCCGCGGGCATCGATGCAACTACCCTCAGCAAATCATTAGTGGAGTAGGTTGCGAAGGAAGGCTGGGCTTATGCTCCGGGCACTTGCGGATGCAGCTGGGCACGCGGCGCATGCACGAAGCCGAAGTCCTTCTCCCGTCGCGTCGCCACCGCACGCCAGAAAGCACTTCCGAGGTCCAGCGTGGCTCTCAAGACCACCCCGGCAGAGACGTTCAGCAGATCCTTGGGCTTCTCTTGCGTGTCTTAAACACGCTTGAGAATCAGTTTCGGCTTCGCATGATTTTCCGCGGAGGGCTCGGCACATCATCACATTCTGTATGGGATCTCCACCTTGGATCCAAGCTGTGCAGCTGGGCCTCTTCTCCGGAGGAGGCATCGACCTCGCCGAAGAAGCTAAGGGAAACTCCCAAATGAGCCTGATCCGAGGCGAGACACGGTGAGACGATTGAAGCTCCAATGTGTTTTGATTCACGCTCTCCGCAGAGGCAAGACTGTGGCTCTGCTTCCCATTCTACCTAGTACTTTGTGGCAGGAGGGGCATGCACACGTAAGCCAGCGAAAGCAAGCCCCCAAACCACCCAAAGCTCTCAGAAAGCCAAGGCCTTTTCCCCTTCGCGAAACATCTTCGGCCTGCGCCACGGTCTTGTGCATGTCCAGCTCGGCCGGCACGATAGACTGGCCAGTTGCACTCCAAGAAACCATGCTCTTTCAAGCTGCAGGCTTCCGGGCCTGTTTCTGCCTGAAGGCCTGAGGCACCTCACCATCAGGCCGGTTGGCAGCCGCCGTGCGAACCTCTGCTTTCTGAAAGCCACACTGTGCACACTGCCAGCAGTCAAGGGCCAGCCGAGCGGGGATCTGACTGCACAAAACTCTGTGGACTCGAAAGCATGTGTACAATCCTAATTAAATGGTGGGACCAGCAGTTTGCTGTCCACATCGATGCCCAAAGAGCAAGTACATACGAGGATGCAGCTCACTCATCGAATATAGCCCGCAAGAGCACATAAAAAAGCAAGCAGGACGCATTAAAGGGTTGAGGCCAAGCCCGTTCGATGGCAGTGAAGATGTCGTTGACATATGTGCCTGGCAGACAGGCTAGCAGGAGGCCCCCAAAGATTGGTTTTGCACCTTGCGCTCGCTCCAGATTCTTTCAATGCGCTACGAAGGTACAATGCCATCGAGCCCAGGCTAGACCGCCGGTTCCAAGAATTCAGTGTGGCCGTGGCTGAGCATGCCCTCTAAACTGCAGTGAGGGGCTCGTCTGCGTGTATTCCATGCATGGGGCAGGCGATGTTTATGTTCACATTCTCTGATTGCTATGCTACGTGGGTACTACCTTCCGGTGAGAGACATGTACGCATTTTTGCGTATATGCAGATATGTCACATGTCAACCAGCCTCATCGGATGTGGATTGCATGCTGCACGAAACCACCATTCTAATCCGAGGGGCTGTTTAGGGTGATGTTGAGCAAGGGAAGTTGATGTTCACTGGTCTGCTTCAAGACCAAGCCATGGACCTCAGTCGCACAACTGGACCTTCCTGCCACAGCAGCGCAACCGCCCTCGAGAATGTTCGGACTGTCATGGACGCAGACTGACGCAAAACAGCGACACCCCTGACACCGAAGCTGAATGCCACGATCCTGGGGACTGTGTGGATGCAGTCGTACTAGCACCAGTTTAGCCAGGACTCCCGGTCCAACATCATGTCGAAATGCCCATCAAGAGTGTCCAAGATGCCTGAGAAGCAAGGCCAAACCTCCCTGTACGAACTGTCTCGCACGATGGCTCGCTCCTCGAAACGCATTATGCAGCCGCCGGGCAACCTTTGCCTACGAAACACCTGCCTGAAACAAGGTCACGTGCTGATAAAAAAAACCCTGGTGTTTTGAGGCTTCCAAGCAAGCTTGCAGAGACCGAGTCTACGGTAAATTACGGTAGATTTGATCTTATGTTGTATCGTACGTCTACATGGGTGCACACGTCAAATCTCGTTTTACTACCTCAACTTGCCCAGCTCCTTCTTCAAGTCTACATCTACAGGGAGATGATATCTCCAAACGAAGGCATGCATGTACCGGATCAACTTGTCATTCAATGCACCTGAGTTCCAATCCTTGTTGTTGAGGCTGCTTGGAATAAAGCGATCTAGTGATTGCCACCATCTGTCCACCACCTGAGTCCCAGCAGCCACTGTGGCTTTTTCATCACCTTCAACTTGCGAGTGAATTGTTGCTTACCATGAACCACAGGGAAATTCTTGATCTTCAGATCCGTGCAGATGGATTCCCAGGCCTTGGCCCCATCGCTGTACATCCAGATCGTTTTGGGATCGCCCAGAAATTTCAAGATGTCAGACTGCAGAATCTCCCTTTTGGACTCCACAGGTGGACTTGCTCCGGGTGGTACCAACTTGACAGGATATATATATATATATATATACATGGATATAATATATATATATATATATATACATATTCTATATATATATATATATACGTAATATATATATATATATGGATTGTATATTGAAAGTATAGAATGTCACCAGGTTTTTTATGAACACGCCTCCTGAAACAACATGCTGACACAGCCATACATCGGGTGGCAGCAACTGCAAGCAGCAGTGCTTTGGGAAGGCCCTCGGCTCAAGCGCTATGAGCCCCCGGCTCGAAGCGGGGCCGTCCGAGATGGCTTTGACCTGCGCAGCTTTGGCGGGACGGCGAGAAAACCTCGGAAGGACACGAAGGGCCTTAAGCGTCAGGTTCAGCTCCAAGGCTTCCTGCTGCCCATCGAGCCTGGGTTTGGCAACTTGAACTGTCCGGGGCGGCGCAAAGAGCCGAAGATTTCTGTCTGAAGCTGTCGCAAGTCACGGTTACCTGTACTTAATGCAATAGGCACAGAAGCTGCGGGTCCTCGCGGAAGTGGCCTACATCAGGGTTAGGGCAGGTCTGGGGTGACTGCTTCGATGATGATGAGTTGTGAGGTCTAGAGTCTAGAAGCATCTCGGCGCTCCAGGCTCTGGAAAGAGAGCACGTTAAGTCACACAAATTTGTGTTCAGTCACAGACACCGGTGACCGGTGGATCTCCAAGCTGCCGAGGAACAGCAGAGGCAGCCGCAAGCGTTCCAGCCGCGCCTTGGAGGCAAGCACCTCAAGCCTGAAGGTGCCTGAACGAACGTCCAATCCCCCAACTGGGCGGCTACCAGAGCCAACATAACCAAGCGGATG